CAAGATGATGGGGGGGGGTTAGAATCAATTACCCCACAAGCCAATTCCAATGATGCAAGCCCCATCAGGCCCCCAGGCCATCTGGCATAGCCAAGATTTCACATTCTCCCTGAAGGCCATGAGAGTGGGAACACACCGCACCTTGGGTGGTAAGTTGTTCTACAGAGTTGGGACCATGGCAAAAAAAGGCCTAGACCCCACCAGTTGAAATTCCTTGACTGGCGGGGTCTGCAACATGCCCCTTCTGCCGGACCGAGTGGGGCAGGTTATATAATGGGGCTGAGACAACTCCTCAGATAACCTGGTCCTGGGCCTTTATTACCAACACCTTGAATTGGACCCGAAGCAAACCAGCAACCAATGCAGCTCGTTTAACATTTATGGCATTGCTCAAGATCCTCAGTGTTTTACCACTTAAAAGTTGTACGGCTTGATGCCCTGAGATTCCTTAGTGAGAAATTCTGGATTTGATCAGCTTTTTATATTCAAAATGCTGGTCTACAATCAGTAGCAATATCAGCATCATCAGAACTGATACCAAAGGATATTTTTTGGATCCTGAGATATACCTTATTGTGGGCTAACACTGACAGACATTCCTAGAAAATAGTGTCTAACTGGTAAAATATATAGTCTATATAGCCTTTTATGATAAGAAAATATCTTCTTAGGTTTTGAAAAATATCTTCTATTTCATTTTGGAAATCCAGAGACTGACCAAATGGACAGAGTCTCAATAGTAGCCATTTTCCAAATTAAAAACATACATGAACTGATGTATTTTTCTTTTATATGATTGATATAAAACCATGTGATCAAGCAAAAATATATTCTCTGATCTATTAAGGACTTATTATTTTTTAGACCTCTTAACTTTTAGTTATAAATACCATATGATAATCTGTATCTAAGTAGAAGAAAAAAGTTCTGGACAGTTAAAGGATGCAAATACAATAAAACATGATGTAGTTTGTTGGTCACAATTAAAGATGATTCTAAAAATCAGGACAGTTTCTAACTTACTTAGAAAAGTTTGTGAGCATCACCAGTTACAATAGTGGTTATCAGAGAATGACATTAAAGACACTTGTGGTTGGCAGGTTAGGGTAAGGGTTATGGTTATGTTTCCAATTACCACCTGCATATCAACCTTCTACTATGGCCATTGTAGAAATAAATTTTTTTTGTTATATTTCTATATGGAAGGCATTTATAACCATCAAATACAATTTTTGAAAATATCTTCTATACAGTTTACAATGTGACAAATTATTTTTTAAAAGTGTTTTCCATTTGTAAATGGGTTTTGCTCATGGAAATATTTGTTGAGATTGGGGAAGGGCTATGTGTAACCAAGATTTTGTAACCTGTGACTTTTGTTTTGGAACTTTAGCCAAAAAGCTATGAAAGTTACATATCACTTCTATGATATTATCTAGTGACTGCCTTATGGCAGAGTGCAAAGCTTAAAAGCTTCCATATTGAAAAGGTGGCAGTCAATTATCAGCAGACATATATTCAAAAATATATATTGTAATTGTTTATGTTTATCAATTTACAAAATGCAAAGTGAGAAAACAGAAGAGAAATCTATATCAAATCAATATTTGGCGTGACCACCCTTTCCCTTCAAAACAGCATCAATTCTTCTAGGTACACTTG